TTGTACTTTGTGTTATAGCTCTCTTTTTGGCCTTGTTTTACAAAATATTTTGAGCATGCTTGTGTACTGTTTTTGGCCCGGTCATAAACTATAAAAGGTCATATTTTGGGCCCCTCTTCAACATTGTTGAAGGGCCCTCATCTGTTTGGGGCCAGCAGCTGTGACGTGCTTCTTTATCTCACATTTAGGGCCATTTTTGCGCATCGGTTTAGCCCTATTTGTGTTTGCTGTTTGGCCTTGCTTAAAACTGTAAAAATTTTTGTTTTGGGGCTTCCTTGAATCTTTCTTCATACTTCATGTACAAATAATGCATGCTTGATGTAGCAACAAGTCATTTCATGTGCTTAATCTTGCATTTCGGGACCATTTCATGCATCGGGTGCTATATTGTCATGATTCGGGGACGTCTACAACATCCTTCTCAATTTTCTTTAACGAACTAATTTGCTTAGGCCACTAATTGTGTCATTAGCTTAAGTGGCCAAGTTTAACTCAAATCAACCTTGCTTATTAGCCACCAAGAAAGAGAATTTTATGAGTAATTGTTGCGTAACGATATTAGTTTAACTTATGCACCACGTTTAAGATTTTCTTAGTCACTTCAGTGTTCAATTGTCGAGTCGAACAGGATGAATATGAGTTCCCTTTGATTTTTTTTCTTATTTCTCTTTCTTTTCTCTTGCTTTCTCTTCCATCCTTCCCTATTTCATTAGCTTAAGTGGCCAAGTTTAACTCAAACTGACCTTGCTTAGCTTTCAAGAAAACAAACTTTCTATGTAAATGTAGGTTAACGGTATTAGTTTAATATAAGCAACTAATTTAATCTTTTCTAAATGACATAAATGCTCAATTAAGTAGCCAAGCTTAACTCAAGCTGATCGTGCTTATCCTCCAAAAAAGCAAATTTTCTAAGTAAATATGGAATAGCGGTATTAGCATGACGTAAGCACCACATTTATGCTTTTCTAAAGTCCAAATGGTTGAATTTGAATTCCCTTGTACATTCTTCCAATTTCCCCTTCCGTTCTCTAACTTTCTCTTCCAAAAGCAATCCAAACAAGCCCAATGTTTATCCATAAGTTTCTTCGTGCTTCACCTACCTCCCTTCTCCATTTTGTTGTAGGAACTAATTAGCTTAGGCCACTAATTGTTTCATTAGCTTAAGTGGCCAAGTTTAACTCAAACAAACCTTACTTAGCCACCAAGAAAGAGAATTTTCTGAGTAATTGTTGCTTAATGATATTAGGCTAACTGAAGCACCTTGCTTAAGGTTTTATTAGTCACTTAAGTGTTCATATCTCGAGACCAAAACGATGAACATGAATTCCCTTCGATTTTTTTCTTATTTTTCTTTCTTTTCTCTAACTTTCTTTTCTACCTTTGAAGAAGAATGTTTCTATCCAACTTTCTCCGTCCTTCTCCATCCTTATCTATTTCTTCTACGAACTAATTAGCTGTGGCCAGTAATTGTTTCATTAGCTTAAGTGGCCAGGTTTAACTCAAACTAACCTTGCTTTGCCTCTAAGAAAGCGAACTTTCTAAGTAAATGTAGGTTAACGGTATTAGTTTGCATTTTTTTTTTTTTTGGGTAAGTAAGTCATAAAATAAAGATAGTAAAATGTACAAGTTTACAAGGGGCATACCCCAGGTACGGCCTGCAACAAATAATAGACGAACAAAAACATCACAAAACTACCACTGGACATCGTACAACACCTCATTTAATACAAGCACCTCATTTAATCTTTTCTAAAGTCCAAATGGTTGAATTTGAATTCCCTTTTACATTCTTCCAATTTCTCATTCTGTTCTCTAACTTTCTCTTCCAAAAGCAAACCAAAACAAGCCGAATGTTACTCTCTAACTTTATCCGTGCTTCACCTTCCTTCTCCATTTTGTTGTTAACTTTCTATTCTTGCACTCACGCATAATGTTTCTCTGTAACTTTCTCCATCCTTCTCTATTTTGTCCTGGGAACTATGTGGATTAGGCCACTAATTGTTTCATTCGCTTGAGTGGGTAAGTTTAACTCAAACTAAGCTTACTTAGCCTCCAAGAAAAAGAATTTTCTGATAAATTGTAGCTTAACGATATTATTTGAACTTAATCACCTCATTTAATGTTTTCTAAATCATCTAAGTGTTGAATTCTCAAGTCCAAAACGATGTATTTGAATTTCTATTGATTTTCTTCCTATTTCTTTTTCTTTTCGCTAACTTTCTATTCTTGCACTCACGCATAATGTTTCTCTGTAACTTTCTCCATCCTTCTCTATTTTGTCCTGGGAACTATGTGGATTAGGCCACTAATTGTTTCATTCGCTTGAGTGGGCAAGTTTAACTCAAACTAAGCCTGACATGGAGTGATGGGGACACTGCCGTAGGGTTTGAGGCTTGTGACCTACCAAGGAAGGGACTGGGGGATGTGATGTTGCTCTCATGTTTTGATTGGCTATGTATTGGTTTGTTGTAGCGGGGCTATTGTTTTTCCACTAAACTTCTCAAGACCGTGGATTATGGTGATTGACTATGCAGGCTTCATGTGACTTAGCGAGGATCTTTCATGGGATAGATATTTTCCTTCGTCATGGCTTTGGTTGAGTGGCTAGGATGTCACGGCTATGAGAAGCGAGATGCTTATTGGATTCCATGCTTTCATCCGAGGTAGAGACTGGGAGCAACCGGGGGCAGCTATCATTTTTCGATTGGTCTTGTTGGGTTTTTAGTTAGTTACATTTGTATTGTGTGTTTTCTGTTATGCTTTATACGTCTATGGTGTGTGTTTGTTTATTTGCCCATATATCCACCCCAAGTTTCCATCTATTATCTGTGATGATAAGGGTTACTTGGGGACAAAAAGGATATATAGGCAAAGTGGGGTTCTGTTTTTTTATATTTATGTTTATGTTGTAGGATGTCCAGTGGTAGTTTTGTAATGTATTCGTTTGTCTATTATTTGTTGTAGGGCGTACCTGGGGTATGCCCCTTGTAAACTTGTACATTTTACTGTCTTTATTTTATGACTTACTTACCCAAAAAAAAAAAAAAAAAAAAAACTAACTAAGCTTACTTAGCCTCAGAAAAAGAATTTTCGGACTAATTGTAGCTTAATATTTTAGTTTAAATCAATCACCTCATTTAAGGTTCTCTAAATCATCTAAGTGTTGAATTCTCAAGTCCAAAACGATGTATTTGAATTTCTTTTGATTTTCTTCCTATTTCTTTTTCTTTTCGCTAACTTTCTATTCTTGCTCTCACGCATAATGTTTCTCTGTAACTTTCTCCATCCTTCTCTATTTCTTCTACGAACTAATTAGATTAGGCCACTAATTGTTTCATTAGCTTAAGTGGCCAAGTTTAACTCAAATTAACCTTGTTTATTAGCCACCAAGAAAGAGACTTTTACGAGCAATTGTTGCGTAACGATACTAGTTTAACTTATGCACCACGTTTAAGGTTTTCTTAGTCACTTCAGTGTTCAATTATCGAGTCGAACAGGATGAATATGAGTTCCCTTTGATTTTTTTTTCTTATTTCTCTTTCTTTTCTCTCGCTTTCTCTTCCATCCTTCCCTATTTCGTTAGCTTAAGTGGCCAAGTTTAACTCAAACTGACCTTGCTTAGCTTTCAAGAAAACGAACTTTCTATGTAAATGTAGGTTAACGGTATTAGTTTAATATAAGCACCGAATTTAATCTTTTCTAAATGACATAAATGCTCAATTAAGTAGCCAAGCTTAACTTAAGTTGACCTTGCTTATCCTCCAAAAAGGCAAATTTTCTAAGTAAATATGGAATAGCGGTATTAGCATGACGTAAGCAACACATTTATGCTATTCTAAAGTCCAAATGGTTGAATTTGAATTCCCTTGTACATTCTTCCAATTTCCCCTTCCGTTCTCTAACTTTCTCTTCCAAAAGCAATCCAAACAAGCCCAATGTTTATCCCTAAGTTTCTTCGTGCTTCACTTACCTCCCTTCTCCATTTTGTTGTAGGAACTAATTAGCTTAGGCCACTAATTGTTTCATTAGCTTAAATGGCCAAGTTTAACATAGGCTAAGCTTTTTTTGTCTTCAAGAAAGATAATTTTCCGAGTAATTGTAACTTAACGATATTAGTTTAACTTAAGGAACTCATTTAAGGTATTCTAAATCATCTAAGTGTTCAATTCTTAAGTCCAAAACGATGAATTTGTATTCCCTTTGATTTTCTTTCGATTTCTTCATCTTTTCTCTAACTTTCTCTTCTAGCTCTCAAGAATAATGTTTCTCTGTAACTTTCTCCGTCCTTCTCCATTTTGTTCTAGGAACTAACTAGATTAGGCCACTAATTGTTTCATTAGCTTAAGTGGCCAACTTTAACCCAAACTAAGTTTGCTCAGTCTCCGAGAAAGAGAATTTTTTGATTAATGGTAACGTAACGATATTAGTTGAACCTAATCACCTCATTTAAGGTTTTCTAAATCATTTAAGGGTTCAACTCTCAAGCAGAAAACTATGAATTTAAATTCCCTTTGACTTTAATCATATTTCTCTTCTTTTTTTTTCTTCTTCTTTTTTTTCCTCAAACGTTCTCTTCTGGCACTCAAGAATAATGTTTCCCTGCAACTTTCTTCGTCCTTCTACATCCTTCTCTATTTTCATCAACGAACTAATTTTTTTTTTTTTTGGGTGAATAAGAAATAATATAAAACAGGAAGATTTACAAAAATACAAGGGGCATACCCCAGGCCCTAACAACAGAAAACAACACGAGCCTCAGCCCACAGACACCGAAGCCCAAAAAACACAACAAAGAACTAGACCAAACCTAGGAGCTACATCCGAAAAATTAGGAGAGCCAAAAGAAACTTAGCCAATCAAATTGTACAAAGGCCATATCCTATGATGAATAGGGACCTTGTACAAAAGACAAAACCAGCAGCCAACAAGCACCACAACACAGTCAGAAAACTCCCTACACAACCCGTAGGGATGGGCACCATCACACCCACAAAACCTCCCTACACAGCCCGTAGGGATAGGCACCTGTAACAAAATAAATATAATACAAAAAAATAGAAGTCCCAGCAAACTGAAGAAATGAGCCAAGAGGGGCCCATCTACCGATTTGCTCAGGAAACCTGTTGCACGAGACACCAAAGTACACATGAAGCCTCCTACACAACCCGTAGGAGTAGGCAAACTGCAAACAACACCTGTGAACAAATAAAAATAATAACCACTGATTATCTCCCACTTGTAGCATAGCAAGGCGCTGGAAGCAGCCATCACCATGGTACATTCGCACACTGCCAACTGCCACCCAAATTCGAACAGCAATCAGCCACCACTCCTCCACAGCAAGAGAGAAACAAACTGTTAACAGCCTCAGGTAACTACGGAATAAGGAGCTACCACACCACCGAACCACGACATAAGCCACAACTTGCCATGGATAGAAATCACCACCTCCATAATGAAGATCATAAAGCAACAGAAATAACAAACACACTGTATAAGACCTCCCCACACTCGGCCCACAGTAAAGAACATTCTTACACTCCATATAGAACCTCACATCACTAGGCCCACATCTCACCAGATTTCTCAATAGAACAAGATAGGTAGTATACTTGAAAGCTCCATAAACCTGCATAAAACATATATTATAAATGTTAGAGCAAAACATGTATACTGTCTCTCTTCACTCAACCCACAGTGGCATAGAATACTTTGCTTGCTCACATCACTCAACCCTCCAATCAGCCACTTCAATGATATAGGATTCATCATAACCTGATAAGAAAGAAGAGAACCTACAAAAGAACATCCAATTAGTAAAACCTCACAGTATATGCTCACCATCACTCAACCCTAATTGTAGGTGAACTCACACCACTCATTCTCCTACCATCTGCAGTAGCATTGGTCGGCTGCATAATTTTGTAGGGAAGGTTCCATTTCTCCAAAAACCAGTGATCACCTGCAGAAAATTTAATGTTATCCAAAGAAAGGAGCCTACCCCTAACCATTTGGATAATAGAGTTAGTAACAACCTCTTCAGGTTTGTGGACCTTACTAAAGATTCTACTATTCCTCTCCATCCAAATGTGGTAGACAGTGCAGAGAAAAGACAACCTCAGGATCAACATTTTCAAAGAATTACCACAGGTAGATTTAGTAGCAAACTCAACAGTGCCCAGCCAAGACAGAGAAGGCCAGTTAGCATTACAATTGGCCATCATGCCACCCCAAACCCTAGAGGAAAAAATACACCTGAAAAAGAGATGGGAGTGATCCTCCTCAGGAGCTTGACAGAAAGGGCAGCAAGGATTAGAGACAAGACCAAAAGATTGAAGCCTATCACCAGTATTAAGTCTCTCGTTAATGGCCAACCAGACAATAAAACTAACCCTAGGAATTAATGGGGGGCCCCAGATAAGTTTAGACCAAGGGACTTTAGGCCCTTTTTCCCTCCACCAATCCCAAACAGACTGGATAGAAAAAGTACCATCAGCGGTCAAGCTCCAAACCGGAGTGTTTGAAGAGCCCGGAGAAGGTAAGAGAGATGAGGGAGTGGAGGAAATCCACTCCTTAATCTCCCAAGAATTAGAAACAGGCCACTTCCAAGAACAATTAGAGACAATAGAGCTAACCTTGGAACTGTCAGGAAGGTTAGTATCATAAAGGATCCTAGGCCCAAACCTCTGCCAAAGAGAACCTAGAGGGTGCCAATTGTCATGCCAAAGGAACACATTGTCACCATTACCAATTTTAAATTTGATGAGGATAAATTAAGTTCCTGAGAGACAAAATTTTCCTCCAAACCCAAGACGGATCACTAGGGGTCTTAACGGACCAGAAACTTCTACCTTTGAGCAAGTAGGACTTAACCCATTGGCACCACATAGAGCAATCCCCGCCCGAAAACAGATACCAAACATGTTTGGCTATAGTAGCCTTGTTCCAGACTTCCAGATCCTTAAAGCCAAGGCCACCTTCACTCTTGTTTCTGCAGATATACTTCCAAGCAATCTTAGCACTATGCTTTTTCATCTCAACCCCAGACCAAAAAAAGGATCTAAGAATACTCTCAATGTCGCTAACTATCTTCTTAGGAAGGATAAAAAGAGAGGACCAATAAACCTGCATAGAAAACAGGATAGACTTTATGAGTTGGGCTCTACCAGCATAAGAGAGCAATTTATTGGTCCAACTTTTGATCCTCATGGTAATTCTCTCCACCAGAATATGGCAATCAGACACTTTAAGCTTAGTAGTGATTAAAGGCACACCAAGGTATCTAACAGGGAGGGAACCCTCAGTAAGTTTTGCAATCTGAAGGATTTCCTCTCTAAGCTGTATACTACAACCCGAGAAGAAAATGTTACTCTTACTAGGATTAGGAGTGAGACCCGACAGATTTCTAAATTCCTCCAAACCTTGCATGATAAGATTAACAGTACCAAGATCCCCTTTGCTAAAAATCATCAGATCATCAGCAAAACATAAATTGACAATTTTGGCTTTTTCACATCTCCAATGGAATTTGAACAGGGGATTCCTAGACTTCTCAGCCAAAATCCTAGCAAGGACCTCCATAGCCACCACAAAAAGATACGGGGACATAGGGTCCCCTTGTCTTAACCCCCGAGCCCCTTTAAAATACCCCTGAAGGTCAAGTTTAACTCAAACAAACCTTACTTAGCCACCAAGAAAGAGAATTTTCTGAGTAATTGTTGCTTAACGATATTAGGATAACTGAAGCACCTTTTAAGGTTTTCTTAGTCACTTAAGTGTTCATATCTCGAGACCAAAACGATGAATATGAATTTCCTTCAATTTTTTTCTTATTTTTCTTTCTTTTCTCTAACTTTCTTTTCTACCTTTGAAGAAGAATGTTTCTATCCAACTTTCTCCGTTCTTCTCTGAGTAATTGTTGCTTAACGATATTAGGATAACTGAAGCACCTTGCTTAAGGTTTTCTTAGTCACTTAAGTGTTCATATCTTGAGACCAAAACGATGAATATGAATTTCCTTCAATTTTTTTCTTATTTTTCTTTCTTTTCTCTAACTTTCTTTTCTACCTTTGAAGAAGAATGTTTCTATCCAACTTTCTCCGTTCTTCTCCATCCTTCTCTATTTCTTCTACGAACTAATTAGTTGAGGCCAGTAATTGTTTCATTAGCTTAAGTGGCCAAGTTTAACTCAAACTGACCTTGCTTTGCCTCTAAGAAAGCGAACTTTCTAAGTAAATGTAGGTTAACGGTATTAGTTTGCTTTTTTTTTTTTTGGGTAAGTAAGTCATAAAATAAAGATAGTAAAATGTACAAGTTTACAAGGGGCATACCCCAGGTACGCCCTGCAACAAATAATAGACGAACAAAAACATCACAAAACTACCACTGGACATCGTACAACACCTCATTTAATACAAACACTTCATTTAATCTTTTCTAAAGTCCAAATGGTTGAATTTGAATTCCCTTTTACATTCTTCCGATTTCTCCTTCTATTCTCTAACTTTCTCTTCCAAAAGCAAACCAAAACAAGCCGAATGTTACTCTCTAAATTTATCCGTGCTTCACTTTCCTTCTCCATCTTGTTGTGGGAACTAATTAGCTCGGACCACTAATTGTTTCATTAGCTTAAGTGGCCAAGTTTAACTAACACTAACCTAGCTTAGCCTCCAAGAAAGAGAATTTTCGGACTAATTGTAGCTTAATATTTTAGTTTAACTTCATCACCTCATTTAAGGTTCTCTAAATCATCTAAATGTTGAATTCTCAAGTCCAAAACGATGTATTTGAATTTCTTTTGATTTTCTTCCTATTTCTTTTTCTTTTCGCTAACTTTCTATTCTTGCACTCACGCATAATGTTTCTCTATAACTTTCTCCATCCTTCTCTATTTTGTCCTGGGAACTATGTGGATTAGGCCACTAATTGTTTCATTCGCTTGAGTGGGCTAGTTTAACTCTAACTAAGCTTACTTAGCCTCCAAGAAAAAGAATTTTCTGATAAATTGTAGCTTAACGATATTATTTGAACTTAATCACCTCATTTAATGTTTTCTAAATCATCCAAGTCTTGAATTCTCAAGTCCAAAACGATAAAATTCAATTCCCTTTGATTTTCATCCTATTTCTTCTTCTTCTTTTTTTTCCTCAAACTTTCTCTTCTAACACTCAATAATAAGGTTTCCTCGTAACTTTCTCCGTCCCTCTACATCCTTCTCTATTTTCTTTAACGAACTAATTTGCTTAGGCCACTAATTGTGTCATTAGCTTAAGTGGCCGAGTTTAACTCAAATTAACCTTGCTTATTAGCCACCAAGAAAGAGAATTTTAATGAATTCCCTTCGATTTTTTTTCTATTTTTCTTTCTTTTCTCTAACTTTCTTTTCTACATTTGAAGAAGAATGTTTCTATCCAACTTTCTCCGTCCTTCTCCATCCTTCCCTATTTCATTAGCTTAAGTGGCCAAGTTTAACTCAAACCAACCTTGCTTAGCCACTAAGAAAGAGAATTTTCTGAGTAATTGTTGCTTAACGATATTAGTCTAACTTAAGCACCACGTTTAAGGTTTTCTTAGTCACTTAAGTGTTCAATTCTCGAGACCAAAAGGATGAATATGAATTCCCTTCGATTTTTTTCTTATTTTTCTTTCTTTTCTCTAACTTTCTCTTCTACCTCCGAAGAAGAATGTTTCTATCCAACTTTCTCCGTCCTTCTCCATCCTACCCTATTTCTTTAGCTTGAGTGGCCAAGTTTGACTCGAACGGACCTTGCTTGGCTTTCAAGAAAGCGAACTTTCTATGTAAATGTAGGTTAACGGTATTAGTTTAATATAAGCACCGAATTTAATCTTTTCTAAATGACATAAATGCTCAATTAAGCAGCCAAGCTTAACTCAAGCTGACCTTGCTTATCCTCCAAAAAAGTAAATTTTCTAAGTAAATATGGAATAGCGGT